TTCTTTGTCCAGTGCTGTGTAAGTTGAGCTCAGCGTCTCCTTCTCTTGTCCGTCATTGCATTGAATCATTTTCTCTTTCACCTTTCTCCTCTCTTCTGTTAGCTTCCAAGTGTCTGTTGAGAGCCATTCCTTGTCTTGCTTCTTCTTTCTTCCTAAGACCGTTGAACAAGTTTCGTTAAAAACCACCTTCAGAGAGTTCCAATGGTCTTCCACGGATGATTCCTCAGTGATGTCACGAAGTGTTTCCTGCTTTGCTCTGACAGTTGCAGTGAAAGTGTTCTTTGTGGTTGTGTCCTTCTGTTTTTGAGTGTTGAACTTGCATTGTGGCCTATCCCCAGCTGTCCTCGAGGCTTGTTTAGTTGATGTACGATCCCGTCTTTTAACTGGAAGGTCCTGGATTTTATACCCAGGTGTGTACATCCTGATGAAGAGTTCCAAACTAGGACGAAACAGTTGTCTAGTACTCCCTAATGGTTTCCAATGGTTCTGTAACTGATGTGAACTTGTGAATCAAACCTGTAACCAATCAAATCTCTTGCCAACCAACATCTGAAAACTGGTCAGCCAGCTGGGGAAATTAGGACGCACGTTTGTTTTCTGTTTGGGACATGTCAGTTAGATCTCCTTGCTTTCTCGCTGAGTGATGGTGTTCCCAGTGACACTCGCATCTAGCATGTTAGTGGCGAACATTGCGATGTATAACATCTGTCTTATTTTGAAGTTATCGACTGAATTTGTCTGAGCTGTAATCAGGTACAGTTTTCTTACTGGACTTTGGACTTGATACGTATTATTTCAAAATATCGCAGTATTTTCCTAACTATTGTGCTTATTATTATTATTCCCTAAAGCTCTAATTGGAACACAGGGCTTCAACGACACATCACCATTTCACCTTGTTCTCTTCAGCCTTTTTTAGATGACTCCATGACGGCCCATGAAGCTTCATTTCCTCTTCACATAATCTCCTCTGTGTCACCCTCTGCACTACGCTCCAAGTTGGGTTCTACTCGATGGCCTGGAGTGTGATGTCACTCAATGGTCTCCTCAGCGTGTGTATCCAGTCAACAATTATTTCCTTTTGCATATTCTCTGAGCGACAACTTCTTGGTTGATTCGTTCCCTAACCTTACTCACCGGTACGTATGCAGGGGAGGCGGGTGTTAAGGAAAGTTTGAGGCCTTTTCGAAATGCTTTTCATGTCGCGCTCACCAAGTCAGTTAACTGTTCAGAAAACCTGACTGACTTGACTGTAGTGAAGAGGTGATTTGGCAACTACTTCGCCACTGACAATTATACATCTCATCCAACAGCTGTACAACAATGCTGCATGCCAAGTAATCCACAACGGAAAACTGACGGAACCCTTCGAAGTGAGGACAGGAGTAAGACAAGGCTGCCTACTATCGCCAATGATTTTCTTGACTGCAGTAGACTAGATAATGCGACAAACTGTGGGCAATGAGGAAACAGGCATAAAATGGACTCACACAAAAAACTCGGAGGATCTGGACTTTGCCGATGATGACATATGTGTGATTTCCCACAAACGGGAAGATATGCAAATAAAAAGCAACAAGTTGGCAGAAGAAGCATCAAAGAAAGTTTTTCACGTGAACAGAAAGAAAACAGATGTAGTGATGAAGATTCCTGGCCAACAGCAACACCATCAGCAACAGCAATAACAGACGACAATCAGAATAAATGGGAGAAGTTTGAAAGAAGCAACCTCCTCTACCTACTTACCTACCTGGAAAGCATCGTTTCAACTACAGGCGGAACTGACGAGGATATCAAAGCAAGAATCGGAAAAGCAAGGCAAGCTTTCACTACTCTCAAGTCTGTGTGGAGGTCAACAGCACTCAGCATGAAAATGAAAATAAAATTCGGATTTTCAACTCCAATGTGAAATCAGTGCTACTATGCGGATCAGAGACTTGGCCAACGCGTCATAAAGAGCACCTCAGACAAACTACAGACCTTCATTAACAGTTGTCTTCGCTCAATACTCAAGATCAGATGGCTGGTCAGAAAAGATCAGCAACAGGGATCTCTGGGAGCGAACCAACACAGCAGGAACCGATTGTGAAACAAATAGGCAGGAAGAAATGGAGTTAGGTGGATTGGCCATACTCTAAGGAAAACATCAAGTGACATCACTAGACAAGCCATTGCTCGAGTGGAACCCGAAGGGGAAGCGGCGAGTTGGTCGTCAGTGTGAGGGTGACTTAGAGGAGGTCATGTGAAGAGGAGATGAAGGCGTGTGGGCAGACTTGTAGCGAGGTGAAGACTCTAGCAGAGAACCGAACGCAATGGAGACGCGCGGCTGAAGCCCTATGTTCCTCTAGGAATTAAAGGAAACAATAATAGTAGTAATTCTTTATACGGAGGACAGCAGATTCCCACATTAGCTACAGATTAATGAAGAGCTGCCTTGCTATTCTGATTCTGCCTTTGATGTCCTCATCTGTGGTTGACCCGATGCTGCCTAGGTAATTGACTTCCCTTAGATTTCTTCCATTGGGATTGATTGGTACTTTTTGTTGTTGTTGTTGTTGGTTAGGCTAGACATCTTTGTCACTTCTTTTTTTCCCTCTGTGTTCACTTTGAATCCTGTCTTCGATGCTTCGTCTGCCAACTTGTTGGTTTTCGTCTGGAGATCTCCGACATAAGTTACCCACGAAAAACGCATAAAAACTGTTGCATAGGGTATCTTTCTGTAACATGTGACGGAAACATCTCTCAGTTTAGCATAGGAGTGTCAACAGAAAAGTTGCACCACATTCTACACATATATTCATATAAATGACTATAAATGACATGCTTTTGAGATCCATATATAGCCCTAATCCTATTTTTTAATCTTCCCCAAAATCCTTTTATAGAATTCGCGTGTGTCCGTGTAATGGGATCCAAAAAATCAATAGAATGGTTCACTCTGTGATAAATATACCCAAGGGAAGACAGCGAGTTATAACCTTTTCATAAATCAAGATGTAATCACTATTATTATTATCATCACTATTATTCCCTTGTGTTCCGAGTGGAACAGGGGGCTCCAACAGCACACTGCCACTTGACTGTGTTCTCTGACGTCCTTTTTTAGCTGGCTCCCTGATGGCCCATAGGTTTTTATTTCCTTCTCGCATTATATCGTACATGTCACTCTGGGACCCACGTCCAATTCATCGTTTCTCGACAGACTAGTGTATGATGTCAGTTAGCAGTCTGCTCGGCGTATTTCTGATTCATCTCCACGCTGCTCTAAATATTTGTTGGGCGATAGGTTTTCGGTTGGTTCCATTGCGGGTAAAATTTACTGATGACCACGTTTCGAGCACAATTTATTGCTGCTCATAATCATATCAAGGCGTTACTCACACAACTTTCGAACTTTGTTTATACAATTCCCTTATTTTTCATTGCTTGACTTGATCGGTGGTAGTATTTTCCATATTTTCGCTATGAGTGATGAGTCATTCCTATTGCACGTGTTGGCTGTAGACTGGATGAATAAGGATTCAGTAATCAATCTCTCTCTCCACCTACCTATGCTACTATTTAGAATTTTGACTCTGTCCCACCCTATTATGTGGCTGTGTGTTAATTCATGCAGTGCAATTTTTTAAAATTCTTTTACGTTCACAGTGGAACATAGGGCTTCAAGCTAAGGGTTCGAATTTTCGGTAGCGGTGGTATTTATCTTTACGGGATGGGGTTGCTAGCCTCATGTCCAACCTTCCCTCTTTACCAGTCGTATTACTAGCCAGCTTAGGAGGTAAAGGAGTGCGTCAGTGGCTGGGGATTGAACATTTGACCATGTGTGGCGTAGTTGGCAAGCATTTTGCCGCTGTGCTGTCACCGGCGGACTGTGCAGTGCAATTACTGTTCATTTTTCTAAATTACTTATCTTCGTGGGACCAATCATTCTAACTTTAGCTAAATTCTTATGATCTGATAATCTGAATACTCCTGATCCTCTCTTTTGGCTTATATAGTTGACCTAACTCACAGTTATTGCAAGGTATTTTTTAAATTATATTATTTTGTCTAATTGGGTCAACCTACAGGGTCCTTTAACCTACAGGGCTTGTCCTACCTGAGTAAGTTTGTAGGTTTAAACGCCGCTCTAATTCCTGGTTTACTGAGAATCCTACGTAGGGTCTCAGATGTTCCCTCCTTATATGGTAAAACTACAGTAGATACCTTATATTCTCTCTTATTTATGTTATCATTATTAGTTTCGTCATTATTTTTACTTTGTTGCCAACCTTTTCTGATCTTACCAATGAATTTTATAGGATAGTTATTTGATACCAACGCCTCTTCTATCTGTTTTATTTCATCATTTAGGTCTTTTCTTGTACTACTTGGTGCTACTGCTCGGTTTGTTAGACACTTAACTAAGCCTGCCTTCACAGACGGATAACGGATGAGATGAATTAAAGTCTAAATATCTATTGGAATGCGTTGGATTTTTATTGACGCTAGTGTGCAGTTTACCTTCTTCCTTTCGTTTTATTTTACAACCTAACCTCACAGCTAATTCTCCTTGTTCATTTTCCGATTCAAATGTGAATTTTATTCCCTCGACTAGTGAGTCTATATGTGTGTGTCAAGAAGCTAGAGATATGTTCTGTTTTTAACACTGTGTGTGAAAGTACCATCAACATATCTCCACTATATTTTTGGAGTAGGATTAAATGTATCAAGAGCACTATTTTCCCAAATGTCCATAAAGATATCTGCTACGGTAAGGGATATTGGTGATCCCATTGCTACACCGTCTGTTTGTTTATATATTATTTTGCCCTGGAATTTAAAGAGGCATAAATGAATTCCTAAAATAATTTCCTCAATGGGCAACTTTTTCCTATGACGAAGTACGGGATCAGAAGTTAGTTCCCTTTTAACCGCTTCCAAGGCCATATTCAACTTTAAACCATCATTATTAACAAAAAGTAGAAGACAAATTCTGATTTTTGAAATTATATAATCCTATTCTGAAAACAAAGAATGGAAGTCGGATTCACAGGTACACACAAGTAAAAATTGATTGAAATTAAGTAGAATAAAAGAGAAGTTTATATAATGTACAAAGTGGAGATTATTTCTGATTTGTTAGACGAAACACAGTAACAGCCAACACAACGACCCACTAGGGTACAACACTGCAATCAATGTACAATGGCGTCTATTCACAATTTCCGCTTTTATGCACAAAAGGAAGAGAGAACAAGTATTCATAGATAGACGAGTATAGGAGCATTTCCTCATTTCTTATCACGATAAAATTTCTCTGCCCATTGAACATATGGCATAGCAAATTGAAAATGAAGTTGTTGACGTGATTTTCTTAATATTGAATCTTTGTAATAAAATCTAGAAAAAAAAAAATACAATATATATAATGGTAAAGAAAACTTATGTCAGTAATTAATAATGTGAATGGAATCAGCGCAAAATTAAAAAAACTCAATTAAACCTTTGAGATACATCAGTAACAAGCTTTAAGCCTTTGAAGTTTTAGTAGCAGTGATCTGTCTTTTTCATGAGGTGTAATCACCAGTTGTACGACAATGGTGCATGCCAAGTAATCTACAACGGGAAACTCATAGAGTCCCTTTGAAGTGAAGACGGGAGTAAGACAAGGCTGGCTGGCTGGCTGCCTACTATCTCCTATGATTTTCCTGATTGCGGTAGATTGGATAATGCGGCAGACAGCGGCGGGCAGCGAGGAAGCAGGCATAAAATGGACCCACACAAAAAAACTTGGAGGATCTGGACTTCCCCGATGATGACATATGTGTGATTTCCCACAAACTGGAAGATATGCAAATGAAAAGCAACAAGTTGGCAGAAGAAGCATCAAATAAAGGTATTCAGGTGAACATAGAGAAAACAGAGGGAGTGATGAAGATTCCTGGCCAACAGCAACACCATCAGCAACAGCAACAACAGACGACAATCAGAATAAATGGGAGGAGTCTGAAAGAAGCAACCTCCTTACCTACTTACCTACCTGGGAAGCATCGTTTCAACTACAGGCGGACGGAACTGACGAGGATATCAAGGCGAGGATCGGGAAAGCAAGGCAAGCTTTCACTACTCTCAAGTCTGTGTGGAGGTCAACAGCACTCAGCATGAAAAATAAGATTCGGATTTTCAACTCCAATGTGAAGTCAGTGCTACTTTATGGATCAGAGACTTGGCGCTTCATGAAGAGCACCTCAAACAATACAGACCTTCATCAACAGCTGTCTTCGCTCAATACTACTCAAGATCAGATGGCCGGCCATTAAAGATCAGCAACAGGGATCTCTGGCAATGAGCGAGGCAACCCAGCAGGAACCGATTTGTCTTATCAACATTAATTTTTATTTGAGAATTTTACTGGGTATAAAAACCAAGATTTCCCAGTGAAAATGTCAGATGCAGACAGTAATAAATACTCAGTCTGAGACGAATATATATTGTCACTTTGAGAAAATGACTCGTATTCTGTTTTATAATGGTGTGGTGAGAGCTGTCTGCTAGCCGAAATTGGTAGACAGCAATTTACGTCAATGTTTACGTCCCACATCTTGGTCATGAGAAAAAAAAACAAGAACAAAGACTAACTCAACAACCAATCACAGCAGACTTTGCGTGGGCGGATACGATTCGCAGATATATGGTCTGACCTTCAAAGAAACGGCCACAAAGAGATGACAGTGAGAAAACAACCAATCAGAAGATGCTGTTTCTCTGTTAATAATAACGAATAATAATGTACATAAAAATATATAAATATCTCTTGATTTCCTCAATAAAGGATCTGTTGCCTGGCCCTTGTCTTCTTTCGTTACAATAGTATATTTGTGAGTTACATCATAATAATATACCCAGTGAAACATAAGGCTTCAAGTTTCGAAGTTGTGGCATTACTCTTACAGGATGAAACTGTTAGCCTCAAATCCAACTTTCTGAACTAAACTGTCAGCTAGTAAACTAGTCGAGTTTTAGAAGTGCGTCGACCTGAGAGTGGAACTCGGAAGTCCCACCTGGCTGACCATAGAACTACCGATGCATATAGTCTAGTGGAGTAGAAAGAATCTAAGTGCATTCGCTACAGAATGAGACCATATATACAGTTCGTGTTTTGCAAAAGGTCAGGATTAGCGTTCAGGTCTCCTGAAAACCAGTGTATGGTTATCCAGTCAATAGACGTGTCACTATACGAATGTTATAATATGTGTATTTAGTTTATCATTTTGAGTCATTTATTGTTAAAAAAGTGCTTCAAACTTGCCTAAAATATTTGCCTACCTTCTCATATATTCGACATTAATTAGTAATTTGTATCGATCTTTTGTTTCAGATTTGTTTTCTATGCCTTTAATATATATTACGCTTTTTCACTTAAAGCACTATCAGACATGTATCACACTATTGTCTTTCAATATGTCATCTACATTTAGCGACTTTTAACAAATTATATCACAGAATTGGTGTGTAACGTAAAAATCGAACGACATATATGATACACTTCAGTATGCCTAAGAGAACTGAGGTGATTCATAAAAAGTATGTTGACTTCAAATGATTTTGAAGCCTAATAAATTTGGGTCTAAAACGTCCCTCTATTACTGGTATTGTCATCATAATGACTTGATTCTATTACAGCTATTTGTTGACCATAACTGAAAGTTAATCATGACAGATATTAGTAGTCAGTGATGCCGACAAATCACGAGTCTAAGTCATCGATAACTTGACATAAGCCACCTGGTACAACTGAGGGTGGGAAGATTTCGGTCTTCCTCTGGAAATCCTGTCTTCTGGTGATGCCAACTAACTCCTATTGACTGCCTTCATGCGATGACGGTGTTCCTCACAAGAGTGAAAGTGTGAATACGAACGTTTGGTGATTACAACTTCACTGATGGACAAGGTGGTCTACCTAGAGGAGCTGGAAAAATCCTGATTCCAAACCTATGGAGTATACATTGCCTCCAGAATCTGAACAGATCGACTATTATATGAACTTATTCTAGTCGCCGACAAACTGGTCGAAGAAGCAGCAAAGACAGGACTCCAGGTGAACATAGACAAGACGAAGGTTATGAAAATAACCAACCAACAACAACGACAGCAGTAGCAACATCCAGCACCAATCACCATCAATGGGAGGGATTTGAAAGAGGTTACTTCATTCATTTATCTAGGGAGCATTGTCTCAACTACAGAAGGAACGGACGAAGATGTCAAATCGAGAATCGGGAAGGCGAGAAACACATTCATCAACCTGAAACCAATCTGGAAATCTTTGTCACTCAGCCTACATCAACAACAAAATTCGGATTTTCAATACAAACGTCAAGTCAATTTTGCTTTACGGATCAGAAACTTGGCGGGTCACAAAGAATATTTCCAACAGGTTGCAGACCTTTATCAACAACTGTCTTCGCTCTATACTGAAGATTAGATGGCCAGAAAGAATCACCAACAAGAAACTATGGGAACAAACAAAACAAGAACCAATAGCTCAACAAATATGTAGGAGAAAGTGGAGATGGATTGGACACTCGCTGAGGAGGCCGCTGGGTGACATCGCGCGTCAGGCCAGCGCTCGAGTGGAACCCGAAAGGGAAGCGGCGAGTAGTGGGACGTCGGAGGGTGACATGGAGGAGATCGTGTGAACAGGGGCTGAATCAGTATGGACTAACATGGATTCAGGTGAAAAGTACAGCAGAAGACAGAAGCAAGTGGAGATGTGCAGTTGAAGCCCTATGTTCCACTAGGAACCCAAGGGAACAATAATAATAGTAATAATAAACCTCCGATGTTATGACTGAATCCTTAGCGATACATTTGACTTCATCGACTCAGTGAAGGATATCAACGTGTTTGAAAGACAAATGCTCTCACTAGATGTCACCTCTTTATTCACAAGCATCCTCCTGACCGAAACAATATGCTTCATTTGTGACTACATCGAAACCAACAGCCTTGGAGTACCTCTCTCCCCGCAAACTACCTGAAGAAACAACTACTTCTCAAATTCAATGAACAATTCTATGTACAGAAAGATGGTGTAGCCATGGGGTCTCTTCTTGATCCACTCACTTAGGATGCTCACGGTGAGTTTCGAAAACAACATCTTTGATCCTTTAATAAGTCGACTGCACTTATACACGAGATATATGGGTGAAAAGAAGTCTGTCTAAAAAAAATAAAAGAGTATCATATTAACTTACCGCATAGCTCTAGCCATTTTTTCATAATCCATATGTTTATTATTCCGATAATGACCCCATTCTTTTGCGCTTAATTGTGTATTGACAATACGAAATATTCCTGTCGATCGATTGACCCATTGAAATGCTGTCGTCTCATTACCTGTCTCTAAACGACACAATATAAACTGCCATAATTCCATTTGTTTACACTTTCGTTTTGTTAACCAATGGGAGTCAACTGAAGAGGTGGAAAATTTCCTGTGCTTTTTATATTTTGAGCTTTTTAAACATTTATAAGAAGAATGATGCTGAAGATCTCGATGATGTTTGCTTTTGAATTGATCCATTGAGGAATTAGATCTTTCTGAATCAGAATTATGCACTTCATGTGTTGCAGGAGATAATTTCGTCTTTGTTGACCTCTTTTTATCACTGTTATCATGATTATTTTTACCGTCACGGTCGTCGCCATGATAATCATCATCATCAGCATGTTGTGTGGAGTTAGTTATCCAGATAGCTGATTGAAAATCTTTATGCATACGTCGTGTCACTGGATTAGGCCACCATGGTTCACAGTCATTAATATCTGTAGCTTGTGATTGTGTACTACAACAATACGACTGATGTTTTTTATTTCGATAACTTGCACTATCACCACCATAAGTGACGGAATGATTGAATCTTTTAGAGGTATTACTTTTATAATACACTTCTGGCCTGTAATTCACCTCCGATGATAAGGATTCTTCATCATCATGATCATCACTGAACGATGAATCCGAGTAATTGTCATCACTAGAAGTGCATGGATTATTGTGCCTAGATTTCGCCTTAATCTTTAAACGATGCTTTTTTAAACGTTTTTGTCGCAGTAAATTTGTGTGGTATTCAGCTTCAGAACAAGTTAGCGTACTATCTGAATTGTGCTCATCGTTATATCTATCTTCATGATAAAGATTATTATTATTATCATTAATATTGCAAGAAACTCTTTCTGTATCTGACATATTATCGCCTATCTGTTCCGCTTCATGTAACAGATCATTTCCGATGGATGATTTACAAGCCTTTGAAATGATTACAGGTTGATTGGATAATTGATCTGTTGAAGATGACTGCTGTAACTCACTACTTGAATGTGATTTCACTGTACAATAGTGATCAGATTTGTTGATTTCTTCTTCAGGTGAATTGACAGTTGAGAATATCTGTTCAACATCATCTAATCCCAAGCCTAAATATGTAGCAATACTAGACAATTAGTAGGAAATAAAATGTCGACTATAACAAGAAAATAAATAAATACGAAATTTAGCAGAAAAATTATATGCTTAGGTTATGATGGGACGCGATCCGATGGCCCATGAATTCTAACTTCTGCCCAGTGGCTTAATGGTCTACGAGATCGCTCGAACCCTGGCGGTGGGTACGTACTGCAGTCAGAGACGTTACCACTAAGCCATTCGGGATAGCCACCTAGCATGGTGACCACACTAACACTTGACTGATAGAATTCAATCTGCACCAAACGAAGGGCTAGACACATAACACTAGTTACTCACTAGTGTCCAGTCAAAGTATCCAATACAGTCCTACTGGAGGTCAACGGCGAACCCAAACAGCTCAGTGGTAACGTCTGTGACTGTAGCAGTCCCTGGGTGACGTAGCTTCGAGTCTCAGAGTGGATATGAGTTCCTTCAAGGTTGCAGATACGCCTTGCTGACTGGTTAGTTCCGACTAGCACGAAACCTAGGTCAAGTAAGGCTTCCTGCCGATTGCCTCCAACCATCTAATAAAGCAACCACTAAATAACCGAGAACGAACAATCGTGTCACTAGCCATGGATGATGTGTAAGTTCTCCTTTAGGAGTTCACCTCTGATCAGATTTATCAACTATTTATTTCGGAGAATAAGGTTAACGGTTAGATTAGGGCCAGCTTTTTGGGTTAGACTGAGGTCAGAATTTAGGAGTAGGGGTGAGCTTAGGGTTAAGCAGTAGGGTTATGTGTCAAGGTTAGATTAGGGTTAGAAGTGAGCAATGAGGTTAGGTCTGAGGGTAAGGAGTTCACTTTTGAGTCACCAGTTAGGTTATCACAGAATTATACTACTCAGTACTGTAGACATTTAAATTTAAAGTTTATCAACAAACTCGAGGGATTTTTACAGTCCTCTGCATATTATTGGAATAGTTTTAGTTTGTACGTGACTCACGGAATTTAGGCATGTTATATATGCGTTGGTGGTTCAGCAGTGGGACGCTCACCTAGCACACATGTGGTCCAGGGTTCGATCCCTGGCCGGCGCACTCCTACACCTTGCTAAGTCGGTAGTAAGACCGATAAAGAGGGAAGGTTGAGCGTGAGGTTAGCAACCCCCACCCATTAAAAATAAAACCACTGCTACCGAAACTTCAAAGCTCCAGCTTGAAGCCGCCGTATGTTCCTCTCGGAACCTAAAGGAATGAGAAAAATACAGAAGAATGCACCGATTGCCTTCCTAAGTTCAAACCGAAGTATTTGAGTTCTGATAGCTAAACTTAATAATGAATGATGTTGTTGGTTGGAGGATTTCATCATGAGCTCACATCAGTTAGAGAACCATTGGAAAACCTGCAGACAGTACTGGACAGCTGTTTCGTCCTAGTTAGGGACTCTTCATCAGCACGCTAATTTCCCTAATACAATGAAGAAATGAAAACAGGGTTGAACATGTAAATAGCACTTACCGGAGACATCTAATGTATCCATCCAAGCAATATCTTCACTGGCTAATTCATTCGGTGAATGAAAATATCCAAAATTATCTGTAAACGATGAGGATGATGAGGGAACTGGTGGTGGTGGTGGTGGTGATTCAGTAACATGAGGCTTATCGTTGACTGATTTCATTGATAACGGTCTACTTCTTTGACTAGTTCCACTGTTCGAATCTCTTTCATTTCTATTATTATTATTATATAACTTTAATAAATCTTCCTCTGTACAATACTCATTGGAATTAGAAGTTCCCTCTTTAGAGCTTTCCAGTTGATCATTATTCATCTCATTGATGCATTCATCAGAAAAATTAGAATAATAATTATCATGAGTGTTTTTTATGTAATCAGCATAGAATAATGAAGGATCCAGGGTGTTTTCAAAATGATTAGGTATACTTAAAATATTCATTGGTGTAATTGTGTCCATTGTCATAAATTCCGATAGGAGATCAGATGACAAAGATTCTATATGCGTCGTATATCTTGAATTAATAACAGTTGATTGTTCTGGTGACAGTGGACCTTCTAAATAACTTCTTAAATCATTTCTACTATTTGAAGAAAATGAATCTGCAGATTCTGAAGAACACGGTGATGTGGAATGCCATGATTGTTGTTCATCGAGACTATCGACTATTGGAGCTTCTTGATTGTCATTGTTAATTTTGTTGACAAGTGATGTCAAACTCTCTTGGTCAGTTTTGCCACTGGTTTTTGACATTTTGCCTAAAAATTATGCAGAAAAATAAAATAATTTTCTGCTAGATAATTTGAAATATTGTGAATGATATTTCAGTCTAAATTGTTTGATTTGGGACAACCGTTTCGTCCCAGCTTGGAACTCTTCAGGGGCGCGGGCCCACAATCTCATCAGGGATCGAACCTGAGAACTTCAGATTACCAAAATCAATCTAGTTGACCATTGAGCCACTTGGGCGGGAATTCAATGACCTGTCAGTTATAACTTATTCACAGTTCGTGATATAGTATCACCCTCAACCACTACCTTCAATGAACATTCAGTTCGTCTTGACACATGACGGAAGCGACTGGTCACGATGTTTCATAGTACAACTTCAGGTTATCCAAACAGTAGCCATCAGTCAGCTGGCAACTGATAGTTAGATTAACGGATGTTGGGTTCGTGACGAAAATCAAACAACTGAAATGAAATTATTACAAATCCCTACAAATACCGTAATCTAGAATTCAATTTTACATTAAAAACCCAATGAAATATAATCTAAGATATATTGTGGCGTGTGCTACTGATACGATTTATCAGTAGTATATATGTATAAGGAGATGTTCATCGGCATAAAACATCAAATAGCAGGGAGATAGATTTAATATCAGAGAAAGCAAATGATACAGAGTTGTGGAGATAAATAGGAGACGTGTTTCACAATATGAAGGCCAGAAGATTTGTGCAGATGGTGCTTTGAAGATAAGGTGTACATAATTTGGCTATATAGAGACATTTTCATGAGTTGTTGTGTAAGGATTATATTTGTTTTTCGTATTTGACCATGGACTGATATCAGTTAGAGAACCATTGAAAACAAGCAGGGAGTACTGGATAGCTGCTTCATCCTAGCTTGAGAATCATCGGTAGTACGCACCCACCGCCTGGGTTCGAACCCAGGATCTTCCAGTTATACGGCAAGCTCGTATATTATTCAGCCACTGGGACCCGATTCAATGGCTAGCTCATGAATTCTAACTTCTACCAATTCATGATTTTATCGCGACCACGAACCAATGTCATCCGCGGGACATCCATCCTCACACTTGACTGGATGGACCTCACTGGTCACGACTTCTCACTGGAACTCCAGGAAACTCCGTCCTGTAGCAAGTCCCTACCGAGCATCAGATTTATTTTCAAGAGTTGTTGTGTAAAGATTATAGAGATAGCTAATTGCAAATTAACAATCCTTTACCAAGTCTTTGTCGTCAACCGTTACAATATTTGTTCCTTTTTGCTTGGGACTCTTCAAATGCGTTTCAATTAGTTTCAGCAATTGATACGTGATGTTCTGAATTAGATGCTAATCCAATATTTACTGTCTCAAATGCTGAAGAGTTATTCTGTAAACATACTTAGGCATATAAATGTCAAAATAATTTTGCGATAAATTTGAACTACTTACAAGTAGGCTAATTAACGTTTGGAAAATATTTTACAGCTTGATTCTGGCGTATGCTATGTAATTCCGATACATCCTTCTTGAGACGAATACTGAGTATAAAAAAAACACATAACTTGGGGTCTAAAGCCAGTCAAAGCTTATTTTATTGTGTTGTGTCATACCTATGAAGGAATTTTTCGGTGTGAAATTAGTATAGGGCGTCGATAATTCAGTGGTGGTATGCTCGTCATCTATGTTGGAGGTTCGGTCTTGAATACCAGCTAACTTACTCGTATACAATGCCTAGTTTGCTAGATGGTAGTCGGCCCGAAAAAGAGAGGGGACTGAATTTGAGGCTAGCAAATTTATTTCGTCAAAATATAATATTTTTTTCTAGTGGTAAAGTGAACAGAATACTTTGATGGGCCAAGTATAAAGATTTCATTATATACCTTCTGCTTTACTAAATCCATACTGACGACATGATAATAATATCGAATCAGTATACATATAGTAGGTTGCTGAATGAGATAATCAACCAACGCCCATAGCGTATATCAATTAGACATGGTGTTTATTTTCTTCTCTCTTTATACAGCAGACTACTTATTTATTTATTAAGTACTATACTCCAAATTTTGAAAATATTCATGCTTTGATGACTTCAGTGTTTCATTTCCTTCACTGGTGTATTTACGTCTTGGAGAATGATAAACCACCCGAATATTTTAAAAGTAAGACTAGTTTTAACTATAAACACCACAAAGATATGTCTTACTGATATGAAACTTGTCAGATGAAAGAAGATATTTACCATGACTTTTTAAATGGTTCAGAAGCTTGGGATATATCTCACCAAAACCACTTCTAACAGGTTAATTCACATTTGTGTCAACAGCTGACTGCTTCGCTCCATAATGAAGATGAGATGGCTTGCCAGGATGGAAGTCTGACAGCGAACCAACCACCAACCTGTCATTTAAGAAATATACGGGTCGGACATACGCGGAGGACATCGTTGACCGAAATCGCGCGACAGGCCGTTGGGTTGAATTCGAATGGGAAATGATGAGTCCTAGGGTGACATAGAGGGGATAGTATGATGAAGATATGAATAGCATTGGCAATCGCAATACATTGCACTGATTAAGGCACTCTACCCGTACTCATGCAGCCAGGTGAGGGCTTACGGCGAGTTGTCATTTGAAGTGGTGACGACTAGTGGCGTCCGTCAAGGATGCCCATTATCCCCATTTCTATTCAACTTCATCATAGATGTACTAATGGACTTAACCCTAACACACTTCAGCGGCTCAGAGATTGACTTGTTACCAGGGAATAATTTCGTCGACTTAGAATATGCGGACGATATAGTCCTTCTAGGCGAGGACGCTGACAAAATGCCGAGACTTCTGAACACCTTGAGTTGCGATCTGCGAATGTTTTGTATGCTATTCGCTTCTGCCAAATGTAAGATGATGAGGCTACAGGACTGGACTACATTGACTCCTACTTCAGAAATAGGAAGTAAAGTGGTAGGGCGTATTGACCACTTCACTTATTAGGGAAGTTGCATCAGTCAGTACCAACGGGTTGATCGCTGACGAAATCTCAGCACGGATACAGAGGGCTAGTTTCGCATACGCCAGTTTACGCCGTCTCTGGCGTAGACGTGATATCCGGCTATCAACCGAAGGGCGGGTTGACTGCTCAGCAGTCCGCTCCGTCCTCCTTTATGGCTGTGAGACCTGGACATTGAGAGCAGAAGACATGAAAAGATTAGCTGTCTTTGATCATAGGTGTCTGCGTTCTATCTCCCGTGTGAAGTGGTATAATAAGGTGAGCAATATGGAGGTTAGGCGTCGAGTGCTAGGTAAGGAGGGAAAATCAATAGATGAGACTGTGAAATTACATCGACTGAGATGGTTAGGACATGTGTTACGTATGCCTAGTCATCGCCTTCCCCGACGGGCAATGTTAGCTGATATAGGGCTAGGCTGTAAAAGAGCTAGCGGCTATCAAACGAAAACATGGCACCAGTCAATGAAATCCATAACAGTTAGTCTAGGCCACGTAGGAAGGTGTAGACTTCCTGGTTGGGGTCCTCGGGACGGTTAAAACCAATGGTTGGAAACAATTGGTGACATGCCTCAAAATCGTTCTCAATGGTTGGCGAAGATGCATCCACTCCTTGTTACTTATTATTTCCAATGAAACTGTTTTGTTCTTCGTTATTACTCTTCCTTCGCCTCATGCCTCTGTTTACTGTCTCTGATATGCATTTCTTCTACTTTCTTCTCTTGCTATAAGTGCTACATGGAGTGTGGTGTCTTGAACTGCCGCACATATGTGCAAAGTTCTATGTCGAAAACAGACAGACAGACAATCGCGTGGGGCCAGCTAATGAGGCCTACGGAAAATATGATGATGTGCTGTTGAAGCCCTATGCTTCACATGGATCACAAGGGAAGAATAATAATACCTAAAAACCAGCAATTTTCCTACAGACCGGTTATTTAAAAGGTTAAGGGAGAAAGCACTGGTTATTAACAAAAATCGGTTTAGTTTGTTTCCATTTTCTAAGGCATAAAATGCTCGAAGAAATTCCACTAATCAGAAATAATAACTGTCATTAGTGATTTAGAAAACTGGTACTTTATAAAAACTATTTGTTGAAACTTATATCTTTAGCATACATAACTCACCGGTATTGATTCCATTCATCTGGACACTATCTGTCTTTCCATCAAGTGACCAAGGACTTTCATCGTATAGTTTGAACAAACTGAATGGAAATCAAAATAGTAATGAAAAAGAACATGATTAGTGGAACTCAACTACTTTGCAGTTTAAAAAGAAACTCTGAGTAGAACCAAATAAAAATCTCATTATAAAAATAAACATCCCAACTGGTATCAACTAACAGATACACTAGAGGGAATAGAATAATGGAGTATGAGTATATACATCTTTTACATGCAAATGAAATGGGGAAATTTTTTATTTTATGCCTTTGCACTCCGAGTGAAACACAAGGCTCCAGGTCGGAGCTTTGACATTTCAGTGGCACTGGTGTTTGCTTTTTTTACTGGCCTCACGCCCAACCTTCACCCTTTACCGGCTATATTACTGGTTAAGGGAGGTTTAGGAGTGCGTTGGCCGAGGATTGAACCCACGGGCCATGTGTGTGGTTAGCGAGCATCCTACCACCGAACTACTGACTCACCGAAATCAGGAAAAATTATTCTATAACTAAAGGTGAGACTAAAATAATAATCAGTTAAAGATATACTCAACCGACAACAATCAGCATCAATGGGAGAAATCTAAAGGATGTCGCCTGTTCTGGACGGCATCGTTTCAACTACAGGCGGTACAGATGAGAACGCCAAAGGCAGGATCGGAAAAAAATAAGACAGGCATTCATTGCTCTGAAGTCAGTATGGAGATCTACGGCATTTAGTACTCGGAACGAGAGCCGAATTTTAATCACTTATATCAAATCATTCAGTGTTTCTATATGGTCCAGAGGCTTAGCGTGTCACTAAACGCATTTCCAAAAGCCTGTTGTATACTTTTATCAACACTTGCCTCCTCTACTCAATACTAAAGATCAGATGGCTAGAGAGGATAAGTAACATAGAACTCTGACAATGGATCAGTCAAGAGCCTGTCGCTCAACCAAATGTGCAGAAGAAATTGGAGGTGAATCGGAGATATACTGGGTAGATGGTTGAGTGATATCGCCCGTGAGGCTACAAACTGGAACCCTAGTAGGAAACAACGAGTTGGACATTGGTCCGAGAGTGACATAGAGAAGATGAAAGCTTATGGGTAATCACGGGGTCAGCCAAAAAGAAATGCAGAGGACAGAGTGCACTGGCGATGTACTACTGAGGCCCTGTGTTCCGCTCGGAATCCACGGGAATAACAATAGTAATAGGTGATCAGTCAATGATCTAGAAAATTATTATTTGGTGCATGTTTATGTCCTAAATCACGCATGGCTTAGTCTTCATGGGTGCTGCTATCTGCCAAACTGATTGGCTCATGTTTATACTTGCAACTATCTTCATTCTTATTAATTGGTTTTGTAGAGACTTTTACACAAGGTGGCTACTGAGACTGAGCGAACTAGGAAGTAACAGTGTTATATGAAGCGATAGGTACCAGGTGTCTGTTTCTTCGGATTGGCTACCACACAGAGAGATTCAAGCAGATTTATATAATTATCTAAGAGGTTGAAAAGTTTGTTCCAGGCTTAATTGATCTTTGTTAAACAAAAAAAACAGTGGAGTTTTAAGATTGCATTAAATAGCAAAACAGCCTTACAAGGGATTCCAAATTCTAAAATATGTCGATTAACTTTGTCTCGTAATGATAAAGTCTAGTGAATAACACTTTGATGTTCAAAACCATGGATACTGGCTTTGAGTATCAGTGGGAACAACATCACTCAATGGGGAGTGCAGGTACATCCGGTGGACAAGCCCCAGGTAGGACGAACTGCTCATTGCTCTACGATGGTTAAATAGTACAATGCTGTCTAACCACGCATGCGGTCCGATCCCCAGCCGATGCACTCATAAACATCGCTTAGCCTTAGTACTAAATCCAGTAGAGACTGCATGTCAGCTGTGAGGCTAGCGACCCCATCCTGTATAAAAGGAAATATATCTTCTGGTGAAACTTCATAACTCAAGCTTGAAGCCCTACATCCTAATAGGAAAGCAAAATAATGAAAGAAACACAACGGAAATTTATCAGTGTTCACCAATAACAGTCAATATTTTGTTGAATGTTACGGGCAATGAGTTTAAAATCAAATCACAAGATTTTACTTGAAAGATGTCTGTTGTAAATATTTTATCCCTCACTCGAGTATTCCTTCATTTTACGAATTTATATTTGCACCCACTTTAACTAAAAAACTGATTGGTTTGAAGATAACTGACTGACCTTAGGTGCACTTAAAAACGGGAAGCACCTCATTTGATGCCTTCATACAAGTTTCTGGAAGATTGAGCTTGATGTGATCATATTTCTTAGACTTTCTATGAGTCTTCATGGTCATGAATCAGCAGATTTAAAATATCTCATGTCTATTTTTCAAGTATCCAGGCAGTAACCTGGGGTTCTAGTGGGAAGCCGTGATCATTAGGGTGCAGCAGGTTGAAGGTGAGGCAGTATCTCATCGAAGAAGACATTGAGAAGTGGTCGCGCTATGTCGTGAATTGGCAGAAGTTAGAATTCATGGTCTACGAGCTCGCCTTGTAACTAGAAGGTCCTGGGTTCGAACCCTGGAGGTGGGTGAGTACTGTGAAGAGTCCCAAACCAGGACGAAACAGCTATCCAGCACTCCCAGGTTTTCCAACGGTTCTCTAACTGATGTCAGGTCATGACGAAATCCTCCAACCATATCTCATGTCTGACAAAAATACTGATCCCTAGTCTTTTATCGCTCTTCAGATGATATTGACTGACACTGAAATCTGTTCACGAAACTTCAAAAAGGTCTTCTCTGTCTATAATATCTAAGTTTATTTATTCGTCTGCATATACCGGAAGTGAATTTACTGTCCGATTTTTTATTCCAATCCTTTTATTTCAAAAGAGTACCTTCAGTATCGTATATGGAACATTTACAGATTCTGGAAGCAAGGGAACTCCTTGAACCTTACAAAGACTGGATACCTCCATATTTCTTACAAAAAAAATGATGCACGCTAGCAACAAACTATTTACTGGCTTAGATAAACTGTAAGTATTGCTAAAGAAACTTAAAATCAAAAGACCATTCTACTTATAAGCCTGCTGTTATGAACGATATACATTTATGCTACACAAAACGTGTTAGCTGATTTTTATGAAAAGGTTTATCAACTTATCTGAACGACTAAAGGCTGAATTGATTGATGACTCTGAGACGATGAAATGTTAACCGGCACAAAGGAACGGCAAGATGCCACCGACGCCTGATCGGATGCATAATGGTTAACACAAGACTTGGAATACCCTAAATATTCGGATGCAAATTGGCAGTTTATTTAACTAATGTTTAGTTTTCAAGTGTAGGTTTTCGCAGGGATTTGATTGCTCACAGGTTCGACCACGAGTTGACATCAGTTAGAGATCCATTGGAAGACCATGCGGTACTGGCAAGTTGTTTCGTCTTGGTTTAGGAGTGTTCCATAGTACATACAAACCGGTGTTAGAACCCAGGGCCTTCCGGTTACAAGGCGAGCTTGTAGACCATTCTGCCACTGGGACCCGATCCAATGGCCAATCCATAAATTCCTACTCCTGTCAATTCGAGATATATACAGCACAACCGCCCACTAATTTGACAGGCGAGTAAATGTCCTCTTACCCGACCAGTGGGTTCCACTAAGTCGGATGGCTCCGTACTGCCGAAGAGTCCCAAACTAGGTCGAAACAACTGTCCAGTACTCTTTGGTTTCTTTTTATTTAACCCCCTAGTTATATGTTCATACTGGTGGAAAGCGTACACTACAAAGTAAACATTATTTATCGAATCCTCTCAAAATGAAAAACAGGCTGACGAACATTTAAGCTGTGGAAAAAAAAAACACCGATAAAAGCCTCTCCTTCAATTAATCTTGCCTCATACGCCTTAATTGAATAAAAATGCTTATGTGCTAATCTCTTTTTTATTGATACAGATGGGTTCTGTTCTACACTTCAAAATTTATTGACAGTCTCATTTTCTTTCACCTTTGATCTGTTTCACTTCACATTAACGTTCTGAATAATTATAATAATAATAATAATGACGATATTTCATTGTTATTTAATTGTAAGGACCACACAGGTATATACTCACACACACACACACATACATGCGCGTGCATTCTTGTGTGCACACGAAACGCAGTAATAAATGCAAATATTACGATGATTCTTAACAGGCATCAGACATGTCAGACTGGAGGGTGAACGAATGACACATTATTCAGATTTTGAAAGAATTTTTTATCTGTGAATCTTTATTGATCATTCTTCACCAGTTTCGTCCCGACTTGAAACTCTTCAGTAATATGCAGACATGAGTTTAGTTAGGATGGAGCGCGTAGCCTTCAGATTACGAATCGAGTCTGTTGCCCATTCAGTCGATAACCTGAGAATTCCAACTTCTGTTAGTTCTCGATATACATAGCACCGCGGGCAGTCAATGATATCAATGAGTATCCATCAGACAATTGACATGGTGGGTCCTGTAGGTCGTGACTTCTCTACATTTGAATTAAACAAAAGTCGTCAAAGTTAAATCATCATTGTGGCTTGAATGCTTTTAAGTGTTAATCGTTTGAGAAGTGTTTCTTAATATGTCAGATTTTTTCGGTAAGGGCCACGATAGTGACGGACCAAAGAATAGGATGTTCTAAAGGATGTCTGAATTTTTTTACTGCTTTACATTCCCAACCTACAAAAAAAACTTGGAGGACATATGTCTGATTTCCCACAAACTGGAAGGTATCCAAGTGAAAAGCAACAAGTTGACAGAAGAAGCATCAAAGAAAGGTCTTCACGTGAACATAAAGAAAACAGATGTAGTGATGAAGATTCATGGCCAACAGCAACAGCCAACAATCAGCATAAATGGGAGGAATCTGAAAGAAACAAATTCCTTTACCTACTGACCTACTTGGGAGGCATCGTTTCAACTACAGGCGGACGTAAATGACGAGGATATCAAGACGAGACAAGCTTTCATTACTCTCAAGTCTGTGTGGAGTTCAAAAGCACTCAGCATGATAAACGAGA